ATGGAGAGCTTGAAACCACGTGCTTGAAGTTCTTTAGCATATTCATTGCGATAGATCAAGAATTTGTTTGTTGCTCTTGATAATAATTCACCGTTCTTATTTCTGCGTATAAGATCACCGGGATTTATTTCTGGAGGAAAAGGAACGCTGATATGCAAATTCTGGTCTGGAATGAGTGGGCGAAGGGACTGTGCTGGTGATGTAATAATGTCTGATTCGTCAATAAAAATCCATTCTTGTTGAGAAGCAATGTTAGGTTCAGAAACCATATCTAATCCTAGGTTATGATTGTATGATAATTTTTCGGTCATCTTCATGTATGGGATTTTTTTTTTTTTTTTTTTTGTTTTTTTTTTTTATTTAGATTTTGTTTATTATTATTATTATAATTATAATTATGATTATTACTGTTATCGTTTATTTTAAAAAAAATTTTTTTTCTTACAAAATAATCTTTAGGTGAATAATATATTTGCAAGATTTCAACGGAGATGAAAATAACTTTTAATTGAGATGTATTCGTAAAGTAATTTATAATGCACAAGCAAACATAAGATTTTTTTTCGATTAAAGTTTCGAGTGCAGGGAAAGACAAGTGCAAATTCATTCAACTTATATATGAACGGATCAATGACTCGTCATATGATGGATAAAGTACTTTAAATTCGACTTTGATATTCCAAAAGAATTGATCTTCATACGCATGTTGATTACGAGTGATTACTCAAATAAAATCACATTGTGATATTATAAAATATCACATACAGTACTAATGGAAACAAATATACAGTATATTTTACAAATTTCGCCAATTATAAAAAATTATAAAAAAATTATAGGTACAATTCAAATGTGGCTAGCAACCGAAAAAATATATCTAATTCGAGGAGATATTGCATGATAAAAAAAAGAAGTCAGGTAAACTTTAAAAATTTATCGTAAGATTCATTTTTTAAGTTCAATTTCTTCTTCTTCCAAGTAAAAAACGCATCAATTGAGAGAATCCTAACTAGATTGGTCAGAGATCACATTTTTTTATGTTATCTATGTTATACAGATTCTTGGACAAAATATATACGTAATAAAAATATAACATCAAACATGATGAGGCTGAATGTTCTGCTAATCTAATTACGATATTCAGAATATTGTTGTATTGGATTACAACATGACTTTGTACATTAAATAAGATCCGACTATCTGTTTTTAAGATTTCATATGTATCTAAACCATTTGAAACCACTTGTAAAGGATCGGATACTGCGTGGAATTCCTTTCGTCAATAGTATGAACACAAATTGGTTAAGATCATTACTTTCAGACCGAATTCATAGTCACAATCCGTTATTACCGTTTTCCGCGCCTGAACGGGATATTCATTTCAGGAATAGTGTTCACACACATCAGTTATCAGGTCATGAGTTATTTATCAAATCGGCTTATCAAATTATATTCTTATACATTAGCATTTGGGGAGGAATGAAACATGAATGTTCTCAATAATTTAATTTAACCAATTTAATTTAGCCAGAGTTGCATGACATACGATGGCAGGTCTCGCTCCAGACGTGCATGGCATACGATGGCAGGTCTCGCTCCAGACGTGCAGTACCCCACCTTTTTGTACCGAAAAAAAAGCAATGTATTTTAATATTAATTTAATCGAATATCCCATGTATACTCATGTATATTCATGTATATTCATGTGACACAGAATTCACATTCATTGGTTATTATAGTAAAGGGATACCGAAAATATGTTCTTACTCGTGAAAAAACCAAGCATACAGTATAATTATTGAAATGAAGTACAAATAAGTAAATGTTACCATGTGATATGGTCTGTGCTTGATCCTCGTGATTGATTTTCCATATAACTATTATTTCCAAAAACGGTTAATACAATGAAATTTTATTTAACTAGATTTGAATTAAGAAAGAAGTTTTTTTGGCCAAGAAGACCATGATTTTTAGTTAAAGAACCAATCAAAAAAACGTGTTACAATTATCATAATTTTTTATCTCGGGCATAATTTCTTTCTTTGGTGGAATGATCCATTAATTTTGGAATTCGATTGCTTTTTTTTTTTTTTTTAGTAAAGATTAGTAAAGAACTTGGAAATCCAATGTTTTAATAAGAATGTTTTGACATTTTTTGACTTTCCAAGGCGCATTGTCCATAATTTCAATAATTTCTAATAACTACTAAATCGTAATGTTTAAAACTTTCGGCTATGCATTTAATTACTGATAATACTACAAAAGACCAATTTTATAGTAAATCCTTTATTTATTTTAGATTACGAACCGAAAATGAATTTGGATTAACA